AAAATGTCTTATCGCCTATTAGTTCGAGTGGAATCCACGCGGTGATAACGTTTCATATCATTCCGCATTAGCTGTTCTAAGGAAATAAAAATAACCCTTACATGAAATGCAGTTTCCTTCTACATCTTTAATAATTAGCACAAAGATCTTAATGGATTTTGCTTGTATGGAAGACCATTGGAGAAGTCACAGCGTGTAAAAATATGAATTATAAAGAATACCCACAAAACTCACTGAATCTGCTATTAATACACGGTGACCCGTTACATTAGTCGGAATGTTTGGTATTTCCAACAAAACACCAGGGGTGAATGTTGAAGCAAATGGACTGTTTTTCTTTTCCTTCGTTTGGAATTCAAGTTGTTTAAACTTAGTAAATGTCAATTTAATTAAACATGACTATAGACAGGCAGAAACAGGAATGGCGTATTATATATATATATATATATATATGTGTGTGTGTGTGTGTGTGTGTGTGTGTGTGTGTGTGTGTGTGTGTGTGTGTGTGTGTGTGTGTGTGTGTGTGTGTGTGCAAATAAATAGAAAATAGAAAAGAACCGTTAGGGTGATAATCCGAATTTCTTTAGTATTTTTGATTCTATTTTTAAAAAACAGTGCTCGATACCCAAGTAGAGCCAATATTATAATTGAAAAATTCGCTTGAGGATGAAACAGAACTAGGTACTTTAATTTGATTTAATTTCTATAATTGTATTGGAAGCTTTTAGCTTCTGTTTTTGAAACATGGTAATTCCTATGTAGCCATGGAATCATATTTTTTAAAAAATAATTATAATATATATATATATATATATATATATATATATATATATATGTGTGTGTGTGTGTGTGTGTATCGAGACTTTTTGTCAGTTACGGTGGACTCTGGTCATGTCTTGAGAATGTCTGATGACAAGTTACCCAAGATCCTAATGTAAAAGCAAGTTAGATCAGGGCTACAGGAATGTAGGACGACCATGGCTAAGATACAAAGACAAACTGAAAAGCAACTTGTCAGCAGTCAATATACCACATAACACCCTTGATCGCTTAGGTTTGGAGTGGCTAGAATGGAGATCAGCGTGTTTTAGTTGACTCAGCAGTTTTCAATCTGCTTGTCTGAATCGTCTTCAAGAAGCGAGAGCAAGATCTAAAAGGTCAGCCAATCTCACAGTGATCTCATTTCACAATCCTTACACTTGCTCCATATGTGGCCTCCTTTGTAAATCACTAGCGGGTCTTAAATTCCATTTAAGATTATTGCACAAACTTTCATAACTGAATCAATAAGCTGTCAGATCCTCATACGTCGAAACAGACGGAGACTCCCTCATATATATATATATATATATATATATATATATATATATATATATAATATAATTGAAATTATATTTCCAATATAATTGTATGTCTGAGTGAAAAGAGAGTAAAACTAAAGAGAAATATTGTTCTCAAGCTGATTCGCATTTTTACCGGATACTCAGATAACTGATTTAGCATCTCGACTTCCGTTACATTCCCGCCACTGTAACGTGGCTTCCCTCTCTACCTTTCTTATAAATAATATTATGGTAATTATTCTGATGAGCTTTCCTCTTTCGTACCTAGAATTTATGAATGCAAGTGCACTCATCTCGAGGTTCTTGACAAAATCCAAAGTAGGATCTGCAAAGTAATCGATACTGACATCGCGTTTCGATTTCAATCACTTTCTCACCGGCATGACGTGGCTTCCCTCTGTCTTTCTAGAGATATGTCCATGACATCTTCTGTGACGAGCTTTTCCCCTGGTGTCCTGTCTACGTGCGTTTAAGTGTGCTACTATACCGGCATCTGGGTCCCGAACTCTCTTCCGTTTCTTTGCTCCCCTGATAACTACAATCATCAATAATTTAAATACAAGATCAACTTCAGTATTCTTTAACCCCGTTCATAGCTTTTATCTTTTCATATCTTCCGCTTATACCCGGTATTTTCTCACTCTGTAACCCCTGGTACCAATGGCAATCCCACCTTGCTTGGGGTGAAATGATTTTAATAAATGTACTGGATTTACACTTGAAATGTCTAGATCTAACCGTAAGTTCTATGCTAACAGTTTCTCCCTTGTGAAACTCTCTTTCGGCTTCTTGCTTCCCAGTCAAAAATTTAAATGCAATGTCAATCGTCATCTTCTGTGTCCTTTTATTGGTGTCTCTCCTCAATAACCCTTTTTTCTCATACCCTTCATACTCAGTAACCACTTGTGCCTTAGTGAGTTTATTGCCTTTATTGGCTTGGAATAATTAGCATAAATCTCCTTTTTTCTATTAGTTAGTTATCCGTAACAACAAACTCAGCAATGTTTGGGTAAATATTATCAAACTTGCTATTATCAACCTGGTCGATCAGCCATTGTATTCTGGTACATTTGCATTTTTTTTAGTCTACCAACTGATATGTCTACTTACATTTATATATTTGCCGACCTACGAACATTTCACTCTACCCTATAACTAATTCGTGTATCCGAAACTTCACTAAAGATGCTGGAAAAATGGTCGGTTCCTTGCACGGCTCTAGAAAGTATCTGGCTCCCCCCCGCGCCATGCCCTATCTTTATAAGCGCCATGCCCGAACATATTTGCTGCCACATCTTGGATAGAGCTGGTATCTGGGATTCTCACAACTTCGACCGAGTTCAAAACCGTTCGTGTTTGGACTTGTGAGTTACTTTCCATCCTGCAATACCGAAAAGTTGCAAAACTCTCACTAATCTTTCTATATATTCATGGCAGAAGTTCGATTCAAATCTATTCCCGGTACCCACCAAGTCGACTCATCTTCATTTCCTTCATATTCCATTAGTAAGGAAGAGGTTCCACTCAGAAGTTTCTCCCTCGGAACTGTTGCAATGTGGAACGAACAACCGACCGAATGCTTCTCTGATAACTACAATATTAAACTCATCAAGTTTAGTATCACTTTTTATCTATCCTACATATCATCATAGTATACAACCCATGCTCTCTCTCGTTCTCTCTGTACGACCTTGCAATATCCGTATTTTATAATCGTCTAGATTGAGTGGCGCTTGGGCCTTGTTTTATATGGATAATAGTAAAAAATGGATATTAATATAGAACAATTTTAACAATTCATTCTAATGAGAATTGTACCAACTGATTCGTTGTTACAGTAGAACTTTGTAAACTGCTGTTATTAAATCCATCTTTTTATTAATTTTACCTTTTTCTTCTATTTGCTATATCCTGCTAAATAATAATTTTAGAATATTATTTTTTCGTGGCAGTGTATTTGGCTTAGACCTTCTGAGGCTGACCTTGGCGTTAGCTGGTAGACATAATAGAGATCTCGTTTTTGATTGGCTTTTTTCCTTTTTTTTTTTTTTTTTTGTTAAGCATTCAACCCCAAGAAAGGCGGGTAGCCACTAGCACGCAAGGGGTTACAGAGATGGAGCGAGAACAAAGAGGAGCGATTGAGGAAAGGATGAGACTGTTAAAGGATAGATCAAGGCATCTCGAGACGTCGATTGACGTTACATTTAAATAGTTGGAGATTATAGTCATCAGGAAAACAAGAAATGGGGAGAGAGTTCCACAGGCGAGAAGCGCGAGACATGAAGCTATTGGAGTAGAAGAGACGGCTACATTTAACAGTTTCGACAGGTAAAGTGTGCGAGCCTAGTTGAACGCTTAAATTCATGATGTCTGGAAACCAGCGAAATCAGCTCATCGGAGCAGTTACCATGAAAGAATTTGTAAAAAAGACAGAGAGAGGCAACTGCACGTATGTGAGAGAACGACTGCAGACGAGATGCCAGATCAGGGCCAATTACATTGCATATCCGTCTTTGTATTAAATCAAGGCCCTTGAGACAGTTAGAAGGGGCCCCAGACCATATATGGCAGCAATACTCCATGCAAGGGCGAATGGTTGATTTGTAGAAACATTTCCTGGCGCGGCATAGGGAGCCAACTTTTCTAGTGGTGGACGAAGTTATTGTCTCAATCGTTCCATCTCAGGTCAGCGGACAATATGAGACCGAGCAGTCGCAAAGAGGTGCTCTCGTGGAGTTGAGCGTCAGACATTCTAATGGTAGGCAGGTATGATTCTCTCTCGTGTGTAATAGACAGCAGTTTTGTTTTTAAGGCATTAAAGTTAACCAGCCAATTCCTGCCCTAGTCCACAATCGATTGGAGATCCTTTTCAAGAACGTGAGAATGTTAGATTTAGAAAGTGTTTTCGAGAAGTTGAGTTTTACACCTAGAAAAATAAGACGTGGTTATTTCGTGTCCCGCTGAACTTGCTCCGTATTGGCGGGGGTGGGGGGTAAAGACGACCCCACTTTTTAGTTAAAAATGTATACGTCAACGTGTTAATAAAATAGAGTTTAAAGATCATTTTTATTGATCACATTTTAGCCCCGAAGCATAAACTAACGATGATCCGGTCGAGAGAAGAAATAGAGGAAGACAACATTATTATGATTGCCTCAAGACCGTCAACTAAAAGACCTCTCCAGAACGAAGAGGGATATACAACATATCCGAGTTACCAGCACGATGAGCCTTTCACTTTAGGACTATTAGTAAAAACAACGTATATATAAATAGAATCTATGAATTTATTTCTATGACTGAACGCGTATAACTAAAAACAATGAAAACAAATCCGCGGAAAATGTAGGTTAGTTCTACATTACTCTATCACATGGATTTGATTTGATTGATTCATTTTTATAGCTTATCAACACTTTCTAAGCTATTTAAAGCTATAAAATATTTTGATGTTGTGAAAGTATTTTTTTAATAATAATGATTTTAGCGATATGTCTTACTAATTAACCCATAGCTGGAAGGGAGAAGAATTGAAGTCATAAATTTCCCAATGGCATCTGCGCGTAAGTGAAGATAACGAACCCAACTGAAATTGGAACTCGGTTCTCCGATTAACAATTTCGAGCCATTATCCATTACACAACACGCATATCCAAGCTTACAGCACCTGGTATTCCTAAGCGGTCATACATCTAAGTACGAACCAGACTCGACGTTGCGTAATTTCGGTGATCATATACGAACCGGTGTTTCAACGCTATATGGCCGTAAGTCGATCCAAATTATATAAAAATGAGCAAACACAACACACACACACACACACACACACACACACACGCACACCTATAAAAATAAAACATAAAACGTGCTAAATTAATTTTAAGTTTTGTGTGCTACTATTTTCTGTAAAACTTTAGAAAAAAAAACCTAATGAAATCACACACGCAAACTGTAAAAATTATTTCGCGTTGCTTCTTATGTTTAATGATAAAGTCATTTATTTAAGACTATACATTCTCCACTTAGGCACATTAATTAGTAATGTTTTCCCATCTGCTAATATTTTGTACAAAAATTAATTAGCTCGGTCTTATGTTGATTCCAAAGTCATGACATCTCCTCCGATAACGGCATACAGGCCTGATGCCTTGGACTTAATTAAATTCCACTAGTAAATCATTTCTTTTATCACATTACAATGAGGACCAATTTAATATTAAATGACATAATTATGAGCAGAAATTTACATACGTGATTAATAATTGAGAACCATACTAAGAAAAAAAGCGGCATTGATATTACAAGTGTAAATTAAACAAAAATAACTGCATTTATCATATCAACACTGAAATTAAATCAAATTTTATGGTTAGCCGATTGCGCTCTTTTCCTGTAAACGGTCACCAAATTATGTAATATTATTTTTTGACACTTGACGCTAAAATTTATTTCGCAAATCATAGCACTTGCTATACTAGCTTTTATTCATCTTCAGACTTATTATCTTGAAAACGACCTTATATTCAGAATAAGACACATACCTCGGCAAGTTCTTTAACAAGATGCCACGCGACAATGAACATCACTCGAAAAAACGCATACATTATTTATTTTTGTTTTTATGTTTATTTACAAATGTAGGCATGAAAATAAATTCATAATACGCTACCTACAACAATCTCATTACGAAAATCGCAAAAACCAATTACAGACACCTGCATTCTTTCCAGAGATGTATATGCTATGTGGTATGTCCTCATCTCGCATCTCGTCTACAGTGACTTTCTCTCACACGTGATGTGGCTTTCCTCTATCTTTTCTACGAATATTTTCATGGCAACTGCTCTGATGAGCTACTTTCACTGGTGCCCCAACTGCATGAATTTAAGCGTGCTACTAGGTTGGCATCTCGGTCCCACCCTTTCACGGTTGAAACTGTTAAATGCACTCGCCGCTTCTACTCCAAAAGCTTCTCTCGCAATTCCCGCCATTGGTACTCCCTTCCTACTACTTGCTTCCCTGATAGTTATAATCTCCAAATATTCAAATGTAATGTCAATCGACCTCTTCTGATGGCTTGATCTTGATCCCCGTCCTCCTCTATATCCTTTCATTAAACAACCCTCTTTACTCTTGCTTTCACTCTCTGTAACCCCATGTGTGCTAGTGGCTCTCTAGTCTTGCTTGATTTGTTTTGTCTTCTTTTCTTTTATTTTACGGCATATCAACCTCACTGGGTCATTTAATGCCGAGAACTTTGTTTTTCCTAGTAATATTTTTGTTTTTTCAAAAATCTATTACTGTTAATATTTTTTTCCCAAAACGTATAGCTGGTAATATTTTTTTTCAAAAAGGTATAGCTGGTAATATTATTTTTCAAAAAACGTATCGCTGGTAATATTATTTTTCCCAAAACGTATAACTGGTAATATTTTTTTCAAAAACGTATAGCTGGTAATATTATAGTCTTGCTTGGGGTGAAATGCTTAAATAAAGAAAGATATGCTGAACATACCTTTTTTATACTAATGTTCATGTATTTATACATATGTTTTGTTGTATGAGCATAAGATAAAACAACAGGCGATATTCAAGAGGTTATGCTTAGTCGCAGTTTCTGGAAGAGATCTTATGTGGCGGGATCAAAGTTTTTGAACAAATCCAGAACGCCCAAACCCTTGATGACGATGACATGATACATCCTTGGGCAAATTAATTGAAACATCCGCTTTAGTTTCCTTTCTTTCACTATACGGTCAGTTTTAGATCCACTGGAGTGACAGGGTGTAATCGAATTCTATTTTTTCCTCAGATTAGGTCATTTGCAGTGGTGTGCAGTGATATGAATCTATTTTCGGGGTGTATGATGAAATTTATTTGGCTTTGAAAAATATGGCGTCATCCGTGATTGCATCAGATTTTCATCACGTCCAAACACTGTTGTCTCGACTGTCGATTACTTGTCCTGCGGCAATTGTCTCCGATGAACTTTACTCCAAGGAAGCGTACGAAAATTGTAACGCTGCACAAACTCACAGGAAAGACAAAACAGTGAGCAAATCAAAGTACTATAGATTGCCCGGAAACTCTCCTGATTTAAATCTGATTGAGAATCTGTGATCAGTCTGCGAGGAACCACTTCATGGAATGGATATACGAAGTACTAATATGGGTCATGTTTCATTGGAAAAATACGAAAAAAGTAAATAATAACGGAATTATTCGTTTTGCTTCAATTAATTTGAACAAGGCTGTAATTACTAGCACAAAGATCAACGGTGTTTTTAACAGTTCCGTCGACACAAATTCTATAACATTGATCGGTGGTCGAATGTGTAGAACGTTCGGTTTCTAGACTTGAAAAATGGGTTTGAATCACACCACGGTGGAGTAATGGATAGCGGCTCGGATTGAGTAATCGGAGAGCCGAGTTCGAATTCCAGTCGAATCCATTACATTCACTTACGTGCTAATACACTTGTGAAAAGTGTGAATCCTCTTCTTCTCCCTCCAGCTATGGGTAAATAGCAGGACAGACTGGGTTCTATAGCCTTGGATGGCAACTGGTCTAGGAGAAGGAAAACTCTGAATTCAAAAACCTACGGAGGGCCGTTTGGGAACCTTGTGGCACGTAGTGCACCAGGTCTCTGTAATCGGCCCTTCAAAAAGTGTGGATGGTCCTGCACGAAACCTTCACCAGTATAATCAATTCTCATGTACTATACATGCGGGTTGGGGACCGCTTGTGAATTCCAAATTCCCATGAAACTCCAATATTGGAGCCGGCACAACCCACCCCGGTTGAATGCCATTACAAGAGGGTAGGTAGGAACCATTGTTCAGTGACATTCCTTCGTTATAGGCCTGACAAGGCGGACCCAGCGAGCGGCACTTTTGGCACGTTCCTGAAAATCATAGCACGAGCTAAACCAAATTCTTATGATTAGGTAAACGGAACTGTTCACATGGAAGCGCTCGGCCAATTGACGGTTTCATCGTACCGGCCTTGTTAAAAAAACATTGTATCACGCCAACGCTCACACGTCTGCTCAGAGTAGTTTTTGTTTAAATCTGTATTACCCCATGCAAGGCAATAAAGCCACTAAAACAAAAGGGTTTACAGGGTGTGGAAGATTTAAGAACAGAAATATTAATAATTTTTCTGTTCACATTAAATAATCCTTTGCGCCTTTTTTTTTTTTTTTTTGAATCGATATCACGCCAAGCAAGGCAGTAATGCCACTAAAACAAACGAGGTTACAATGCGTAGAATTAAGAACAGAAACAATAATGATGAGCAGACACAGAAGAGAGTAAGGATTGTAGATAGCAATTAACATTGCATTGAAATTCTTGGAGATTAATGTTGGCTTGAAAGCATGGAATCGGAAGGCATTTCCACAATCTAGAAGTGCGAGAAAAGAAACTGTTAGCATAGAAATTACGGCTACAGCTAGCCAGCTCAAAAGTAAAATGAGGATATCTCGACTCCAATCTAATGCTGCGCATAAAATTTTTAAAAAAAGTCTCGGTAACACAGCGAAGAGCTCATCCAAATAGTATGTATGTGTTGCTCACGTGTGTCTAGTATACCTGGATATCATTAGTTTATTATCTGGATAGTGGAATTCAACGGAAAACAAACGGTTGCATGTAGTGCAGAATTAGAACAGTGCATCACGAAAGGGTTCGATTTGAAATTAAGACGAATTTGCTTGGAGTAGTTTGGTAGATTTTACATGTCAACTCTTTTACGTTATTTAATGTACAAGTTAGTTTTTGTTGCTATTATATTTGAGTCTATAAGGATTTACTTGCTTTGGGTATGGGTAAATATTGCTTCTATATATTTGAACCTATAATGGCAGATGTGTTAGCGAGAATAACCGTAAATATTGCTTCTATATATGTGAGCTTATAATAGCAGTTGTGTTAGTGAGAAAAGCCATAAAATATTGATTCCATATATTATAACTTATAATAGTAGTTGTGTTAGTGAGAATAACCGTAAAAATTACTTAATAATTTCTATACAGTGAAATATTTGGCATTCATTGGCCAAAGAATTTTGATTAATGTCAATTTACATTGTTTTCCAGGACAACATGTTTCTCAAGTGCAGTTAACTATCTTTCTATTACTGATGGGAATTTCCCTCCTAACATGTTGCTTAAGGTTGTTTGGAAAGTCTACATCTTGATCATATCATTATTTTTTCTTCTAGTTACAGGTTACCGATTTGGTTATGGCCATATTTGGAAGTCTTCATTGATGTTTTTGTTATTTGTTAATGTGTTTTGTGTTTGTTTTATAGCGCCAGTCTATGAATTCAGATGAAATATGATCTTCTTTATAACCTGCATTATTCATTCAATGAAGGAAATTTTTAATCAAACGATTTTATATAACTGATAGTTTAGACTTTTCTAAACGGGTTGAACGCCACATCAGACATGGATGTGAACGTCTAAATTTGAGACGAAATCTTTTGCATACGTTTTGGATTTTATCATCTTACGTTATTGAACAAAACTAAACATAAGCACAATCTATTCTTTGTTCAATTTCCTGATCTCCTATGCCAGTCATAGACAAACCGCTTCCCGCGGGACACATGCAACCCTTTTGGATGGAACGCTTATTTTTATAAGCAAAATAACGTTCCTTAAATTATTGTTTTGTTTCGTTCCCACTTGTTCACTCACACACTCTCTCGTACATAAATATGGATTAAGTAAAATCTTGAAATTTGCAAACTTTCCGGGAAACTA